ATATATACTATACTTTTGGTTAATCTAGGCAGCTATGATCATTTAGAACACTGACGAAATTGGAAATTGTCAAATTTTAAATCTTTCATGACATCACATAGTTAGAGGATGGAACCCGTGAGTTTTTCAGTATATTGTTTTTGCTACAGTTTTTGATTAACCGAAAATGTAGGATATCTGATTCATAATTTATTGGAATGTAAGAGCAGTCATTAATATAACTTATATTGATAAACGAAATAGAAATCATAACTTTAGTAGGAGTTTTATAGGAGTTTTAATATTTCAATGTAGCGTAGTGGTCTGGTTCTAGGTTTTTTGGAATACAGGTGCAAGGTTCGATTCTCGATGATTGCACTTCTATTTTACTTTTATCAAAAAAAAAAAGTTAAGTATAAGGGAGAAAAAAATCTCTTCTGGAGAAAAAATAATGCTCAAAACATTTTTCCCCTTTAAAATGTTATAGTAGAAACTAAGTTTTTGAAATAAATATGAACAAAAATACTCCTCATCACTCATTTCTTTCTTGCATTCATTTTAAAAGGCTTTTCCAAAGTAGATAAAGCTGTTTTTGTACTCAAATGTCGATTGATTGTTTTTTGTTTTTTGAGAAATTTCAAAAATGCCACTTTTCAAGTGCTACTTTACAAAAATGCCACATTTTTACAATTTTTGTAAAAATGCCACTTTTTCAAAATTATTTATTCATTATATCATTTATGTTTGGGTTAACTATGTTGTATTAGGGTTTAGTTTTGAAGGTTTTAAGGGTTTTAGGGGTCAAAAGATTTTTTAGGGTTTAGAATTTTAAGATTTAAGCTCTAAAAAATCATAATTAGTGGCATTTTTACAAATGGACACAAAAAATGATATTTTTGCAAATGTCCTTCTTTTTTTCTAGAAGGAAAATGTAGATTGATTATTTGAGCTGATTAAAATGCTAAAGTGCAGACAGATACAGCATCTGTATTAATGGAGGCAATTGGATACATTAAATTCCTTCAGAACCAGATTGAGGTAACAACAACGCTTGCATGTCATACAGATCCATACATCCGATATACGCGTAATTAATCAATCTACACACATTGACACAAATGTCTGCATAAGA